TAATGAATTAGAAGGATCCACGGACCCAGAGACAAACAATTTGTTGATTTTAAATAAAGAACTACGTCAATCCCATGACCATTTGAATTCAAAAATGTCCGAATTTGAGAAAAAGACTAATTCACTAAAAAATAAAATTAAATCTCTGGAAGTCGATCTTGTCCGACTCAGCGAAAATGATCATGCTTTGACCAAAAATTTAGAAATTCAAATCGAGAAACTGGAATTTGAAAAGGATAAATTACAAGGGACGAATGAAATTATTCTCGAAGAACGTGAAGTTCTGGATAAACGAATAGCATTTTTAAGAGAGCAATTACGAATGGATGGATCTGACGAAACAAAGATAACTACACAGATAATTCAATTAAAGGAATTCGTTAGCAATCTTAACAAACAAGTTTCTGATATCAAGCAAAAATCAGCTGATAACTCCAAATCTATGGAACAAGAAATCTGCCGATTATTAGACATTAATGCCCAGCTCGAAAGAGAAACAAATCAAATTGACGGATCAAGTCCTCACAACAACTCAATAAGAAACACAATTATAAAGCATGATTATACCATTGCAGAACAGAATGATCTTATAAAATCTTTGCAAGAAAAAGTAAATCAACTCCAAGATAATAATATTCAAGAAAATTTTTCAATAAAATCCGCATCATCAAAAAAGAAAGGCATTCACACAAAATTAATAACTACTGGATATACAAGACAATCTGCCGATAATTCTCCTACAACACCAAGTCCAACTATACCGCCACCAAGAACACCAACTACTCCGAGAAATATACCAAATTCCAACTCTGATCTTTCTGCTGAATTCCAAAAGCTTCTCAAAAAAGCATCAGTTATTGAAAATGAAACTTCGGAAAGTAGAAAACATGTAGAATCGTTAGAATCAAATGTAGCTGATAAGGAAGCAAACCTTGCAATAGCTAAAGATCAGCTTTCAATCCTTCAAAAAGAAAAACAAGATTATATGGAGTTAATTAAGAGTTTGAATAAACAACTGAATGAAGCTCAATCGCAAATTGAAAACGCGAAGTATAGTGTTCAAGAAGAACATAAAGTTATGGAAAATATTTTGGACGAAGAGAGAAAGGCTAAAGTTAAAGCCGAGAAAGCAAGACAGGCACTTGAAACTCAAATGGAACAAATTATGAATAAGAAAAGAAGGTTTATGTGTTTTTAAACCATTATCATTTCATTTTTTTTAAAATATTATATTATTATAATTTTTTATATCTATTTACAATATAAATGTTATTTTTGTTATATTTATTTTATTTATCTGGTTATATCTATTATTATACATATCAAAGCTGTTTAATTTTCTTGTAGAGATTAGTGAGATATATTATTATGATCTGGTATTGTTTAATATTATATCTATTTTAATAAGTAATTGTTTATAAAACAAAATTGGTGTTTTAATAATAATTTTAAAAGATAAATATATATTTATTATATCAAATTTGTTATCAATAAAAATATTTTTACATAAAAACTTTTAATCAAATTTATAATACAGTTAACTCCTTTATAGTGATTATTATTTTTCACTTTGCAGACTGTGCACAACACGCAGAAACGAAAGTTGCGCACATCTTTTTTGAATAGATATTCGGATGCCACACAGAAAAATCAATAATTTGTAAATTGTGCGCACAGCTGCAAATGGTTGCGCATAGTTTTCTGCACAGAAAAAGTTTACAAATTGTGTGGCATTGCACAGTAAATTTTAATTGAAAAATTAACACAACTCCTTTAGACGTAAATAAAGTAGGATCAACGTGGTTAATAGATACATTGATTCGTTAAAGCGTGAGCATAAAGTTAGCAAATTTCTATAGCAGATAGGAAGGATTCTAGTGTTGGCATATGTCTAATAAAAATTTTATTTAAACATGGCAAATACTAATCCAAATAGTGTCCATGTCCATATTTTTGTATAAGTCAATGTTCAAAGAATTTCTTCAATATACTCCACGGAATAAAGGCGAACAATTTGCGGCTTCTTCATGTCTTTGCCAAAATCTTTTGGACTATTTCGAGATTTTAATCTCAACCTTGCTCATATTTTACGTCTGACTTTCTATTCGGAATCCTTCGAACCGTAAGTATTCACCCGATCTTTATATGGACAATAGAAACATACCGGTAATCCCTAAATGTCCATGCCCATTGGTCCATATTGTTTGTCAATGTCCAACACTGAGAAGGACCATTCAATGTTCAAGTATTGTTATATGTTAATCAATCAAACCACGAGTTCAAAAAAAATAAAAATACTGAAATAACGGATTGAAGCAAAACAAAGCTGTCAGCGCTAACGTCATACCTAAGTGAGAGTTGTAAAATTTATACAATTTTTTAACATTTCGACTGCTCGTTATATAAATATTGAAATAAGAAATATATACATGCTTGTAAAATTTTCTTTTTAATGATATAAGCTCTCGACCATGTACTATACCCGGGACCTATTATAGATGTGGTACGGCGGTTTATAGCATATGGGGTTGAGTCAATAGAAATCAAGCAAATTTTTTTT